ATTAAAATTCGAATTGCCTTAACGCAGAAACGTTTCATACGTGACAGTGTTAATATTAATACTTGATCTACGGGAAGAATATTAAAAGACTTTTTACTACCTATGCTACGATCAAAAAGAATCTTAACAAGTATCTTTGAAATGACAATCGTAAAAGGAAAATCAGTCGGCCATGATGTTAAAAATAACCTGTTGGTTTACGAAGGAAATTTCCTGCAGTATTAATATATTTATTGAGAATTTGGAAATTGTTAACCTGCGAATTTCGAAGGACTATTAGATGAGTATGAATTAGATTGGGGGAGTAGAATTAGATCGGTATGAAGGTGTTGCGTGTGTCGTAACTGGAGAATTCGTCTAAAATGTTGCAGTACAACGATGCAGTCGAAATCAAAGACTCTCTCATGTTCTGTGAACGTATATTCGCTACCGGTGATATATTACCGCAGCAAGACAACGACAAGGGGAAATTGTACAAGATCGTGGTGATCTATTTCTTCCATCTGTCAATTGTGCAAGTCTGGGACTTATGCGACGTTCTGCGTGATTTCGATGCGATGATAGAGGGTGTGTTAGTATTGCCTCTCACGCTTTCGATGTTATTCGCGATTCTTCTTATTCGAACGAACAAGAAGCTGGTGGTGGTGATCGAAGAAATCCGGAGAGATATAAATGGTGCGATATTACTCGCGAACGACGAAGAGAAACGTCTATATCAAAAGTACAACAATATGTCAGTTTTCTTCGCCAAATTTGTGACCGCGTTTACATTCGTCGTCAGTTACATGATATACGTTCGCCCCTTGATAGGCCTGCTGATCAACTCTCGCACTGGTAATCATTAATCAGCCATAAATATTAATTTTGACCCATTGTTTTGTAATATACATTTTAAATCGTTGCATCGCGTGAATGAAGAGGGGAATTTCATGTATAAACATCATAAGAACTTTATCCGAAAGATATCGTTCAAAAATCCAGCTACACTCGTTTTCATGTCAGAAACTTCGATGTTTACAATCCTTATATCGTGTATCAAAGAGATCATCAGTTTCCTGAGGTCATCACTTTGAAACATAATCTCAGGGTTAATCTTGATCTTTAATAATGAAATGATCGGAAACCTGAACATAGACTTCCTTTTAGAAAAAAGTACGAGAAGAGACATTAAAAATTGTATCCTGTGACAAAAGTAATGGCCAATTCGTAAGCTCAAGCAATTGCGTTTTTCAGTGTGCGAACTTTGTTCTAGATCAGGACAACAACACAAGACCTTACGTTCTACCGTTTCGGTCTCATGTGTTCTTCGACTATCACTATGACCTAAAAGTGTACACTCTGTTATATCTCTACCAGTTTCCCGTTGGATTGGTAGGAATGTATCATGCAGCGGAAGTTAGTCTCATCGTCACCGCGACGTTACACGTTTGCGGAAAACTGTCGATGTTGGCGTACCGAATTCGAATGTCCCTAACGAAATCTCCGGCGCATTTCCGGCAGAGGATGAAAACAATGGTGATGGAGCATTTGGAGTTGATGGAGTGAATACGTAAATTCTTGTTAGATTACTCGTTGAAAGGAAACGATAATTATATGTAGTTCTATTTTAGGTTGGTGGATTTTTTAAATGACTGTTTCCACCATATTCTTCTGTTAGAATATCTGAATTGTAGCTTCAGATTGGCCGTTACCATGTACGTGGTGTTAGTGGTATGTAATCGAATGTTTGTAAAGCACATACATAAAGACGCAAAACACCATCTAAGCATTTTATGTTCTTCTTCTCACTATCTTTTAAATTATACAGACGTTGGGGAGCGATATGATGGCCGCTATTAATTTTATTTTATGTACCATAATTGTGGCAGCCTGGTTGTACTTGTACTCTTACATCGGTGAGCAACTTGTTTACGAGGTTTGTACTGCCGATCGTTGATTTTTCATGAGATAATTTTGAAAATCTGAGTGTTCGAGAAACCATCTCGACGCATTTTTATCTCGATTTCCTTCCATTGAACAACTATGATGTCTAGTCGCAGAATGTTGGCGAAGCCTTTTACCATACTGTTTGGACAGACATAACAAACCAGGATAAAAGATCTTTAGTAATCTGTTTAATAAACGGACAAAAACCTCAATATTTAATGGCTGGGAAGTTTTACAGATTCACGCTTTTTGGTTTCAGCGATGTAAGTAGAACAATCTGTTCAACTAATTTAAAAAGGGAATATCCGCAAACGTTCCTATCAATTATACAATGACGGACTTTTGAGTATTCAACGGGAATGCTGTATTTCATGATAAAATTATACAGGGAAGATCCATTTTTTTAACAGATCATAAAAACTTCCATGGCTCTTTTGTCCGTATTACGAACAAGAGTGGAATAAAGCTCTGGTGCTGGTCGTCTAACTTAAAGTTTCCGTCTATTAATGCACATGTTTCAAGGCTCACGAAGGCAAACATAGTAATTAGCTACCGTTGATGAAAATAAAAGTGTCCAGATAATATTAGATCTACTTACTAGATTGTTCCTGTATCTGCACAAAAATGTAACCATTTCATAGCTCATGCAGTTGTAACGATGTTTCGTCAACTATAAGTAGCCAGGTTCGTGGTAGTGTAATACGGCGATTAATGGTGTGATGAAATTATAAATTACGATTACTGCGATAAACCTCTTACGAGAGAAATCCGGTAGACACTTCCAGCAGTCAGCAATTCTTTACACTATTTGAAGTTTACAGAACGCAACTGCAGACTTATCGATCACGCTTATTTCTTCTGCCATCCTGGGTTCGGTAGAATAAATAATTCTGCTTTAGCATTTTGGTCAATCTTCGAGCAAATATCGCCGGTTCAATTATCTTCGTCCGCGTTTTCCCTTCGCAGTTCGGCGATACAGTCTTGAACAAATAAAAAATGAACGGGGCGCTAGGAAGCTTTACGATAATTACTTTCACCGAAGGGACGGTGGCGATTCGGTTCGCTGTTACTCTGCGCTTGAATTGCCACGTAGGCAACTGTGTCCGCTGATTGCATGCGATCGTATAAAAACAGTTGCCGCATCGTTGTTGTTTCAATTTCAAGATCAAGGATAGACTGACAATGGCAGTAAGAGAGTTGACGTGGTTTGCTACGGATCGTTCCGTATGAATCGTTTGTTCCAAGTCGGGAGGACGAACTTTTGGACAGTTTTATCTGCAACCCTGCGAATTTTGTATATTTTCAGTATAAAAAAGAGAACTTATCATTGAGAGAAATAGTTATCCTGCGTCGAATGACAAGTGAAAATTAAGATTCGAATTGCCTTAACGCGGAAACGTTTCATACGTGACAGTGTTAATATTAATACTTGATCTACGGGAAGAATATTAAAAGACATTTTACTACCTATGCTATGATCAAAAAGAATCTTAACAAGTATCTTTGAAATGATAATCTTAAAAGGAAAATCAGTCGGCCATGATGTTAAAAATAACCTGTTGGTTTACGAAGGAAATTTCCTGCAGTATTAATATATTTATTGGAAATTGTGTGTGTGTGTGTTCACCTCCGACTTTGGAAGGACTCTATTAGATGAGTATGAATTAGATTGGGAATAGAATTAGATCGGTATGCAAGTGTCGTCATACTGATTTTGTTTGTCATAACTGAAAAATTCGTCTAAAATGTTGCAGAGCAACGATCCAGTCGAAATCAAAGACTCTCTCTTGTATTGTGAGCGCATATTCGCTACCGGTGATGTATTACCACAGCCCGGCAACGGCGGAGGAAAACTGTTCAAGATCGTGGTGTTATATTTTTTCCATCTGTCAATTTTGCAAGTCTGGGACTTATGCGACGTTCTGCGTGATTTCGATGCGGTGATAGAGTGCGCGTTAGTATTGCCTCTCACGCTTTCGATGTTGTTCGCGATTCTTCTTATTCGAACGAACAAAAAGCTGTTAATAGTGATCGAGAAAATCCGAAGAGATATAAATGGCGCGATATTGCTCGCGAACGACGAAGAGAAACGATTATATCAAAAGTACAACAATATATCCTTTCATTTCGGCAAATTTGTGTCTGCGTTAGAATTCGTCATCAGTTACATGATATACGTCCGCCCGTTGATAGATCCGCTGATCAATTCTTTCGCAGGTAACCATTGTTCAGACATAAATATTTATTTTGACCCATTGTTTTGCAGTATACATTTTAAATCGTTGCATCGTGTGAATGAAGAGGAATTTCATGTATCAACATCATAAAAACTTTATCCGAAAGATATCGTTCAAAAATCCAGCTAGACTCGTTTTCATGTCAAATTTCGATGTTCACAATCCTTATATCGTGTTTCAAAGAGATCATCAGTTTCCTGAGGTCATCACTTTGAAACATAATCTCAGGGTTAATCTTGATCTTTAATAATGAAATGATCGGAAACCTGAACATAGACTTCCTTTTAGAAAAAAGTACGAGAAGAGACATTAAAAATTGTATCCTGTGACAAAAGTAATGGCCAATTCGTAAGCTCAAGCAATTGCGTTTTTCAGTGTGCGAACTTTGTTCTAGATCAGGGCAACGACACAAGACCTTACGTGCTACCGTTTCGGTCTCACATGTTCTTCGATTATCGCTATGACATTAAAGTATACACTCTCCTGTACCTCTACCAATTTCCCGTTGGTTTGGTAGGAATGTATCATGCAGCGGAAGTTAGTCTCATCGTCACCGCGACGTTACACGTTTGCGGAAAACTGTCGATGTTGGCGTGCCGAATTCGAATGTCCCTAACGAAATCTCCGGCGCACTTCCGGCAGAGGATGAAAACAATGGTGATGGAGCATTTGGAGTTGATGGAGTGAATACGTAAATTCTTGTTAGACTACTTGTTGGAAGGAAACGGAACTAATTGTACGTAGGTTTATTTCAGGTTGGCGGATTTTTTAAACGACTGTTTCCGCCATATTCTTCTGATAGAATATTTGAATTGTAGCTTCAGATTTGCCGTTACCATGTACGTGGTGTTAATGGTATGTAGCCGAATCTTTTTAAAGCACATGCGTTAAGACGCGGAACACCACCTAAACATATTTTTACTTGTGAGAACGTTATGTTCTTGTTTTCACTATCTTTTAAATTACATAGACGTTTGGGAGGGATATGATGGCTGCTATTAATTTTATTTTATATACCATAATTGTGGCAATCTGGTTATACTTGTATTCTTATATTGGCGAGCAGCTTCTTCACGAGGTTTGTACCGTTCATTGTCTATAATCCTTTTTTTAACGAGACAATTTCGAAAACTTGATTCTCTTGAAAACGCCTCTCTATCTCCATTTCCTTCCATTTTAAATTGCCATCTTACGTAAAATATACACTAATATCGAGGCAACTATGATATCCAGTCACAGAAAGTTGGTGAAGCATTTTACCACACCGTTTGGACTGACTTGAAGAACCAGGATAAAAGATCTTTAGTAATGTGTTTAATAAACGGACAAAGACCTCAATATTTAATGGCTGGGAAGTTTTACAGATTCACGCTTTTTGGTTTCTGCGATGTAAGTAGAACAATCTGTTCCTGGTAACTAATTTTTAAAAAGCAAGTATCCGCAAACGTTTCTGACGGATACATAATCACGGACTTTTAAGTATTCAACAGGAATACTGTGTATCTCATGATAAAATTATACAGAGAAGATCCATTGTTTTTTTAACAGATCATGAAAACTTCCATGGCTTTTTTGTCCGTATTACGAACAAGAGTCGAATAAAGCTGGCGCCGGTCGTCTAACTTGAAGTTTCTGTCCATTAATGCACGTGTTTCAAGACTCGTGAAGACGAACAGAATATTTAGCTAACGAAAATAAAAATAAAGGTATCCAGAGAATGTTAGGTTTACTTACTAGATTTTTCCCGCATTTGCACAAAAGTATGACAATTTCATAGTCCATGCAGCGTTCACGATGTTTTATCAACTATAAGTAGCCAGGATCGTCGTGTAGTGCAATATGTTGATTAACATTACGATAAAACTCCAAGTTTACATCGAAATGGTGACAAACTTTCGAAGGCGAAATCCGGGAGATACTTTCAGTTGTCAACAATTCTTTGCACTATTCGAAGTTCACAAAATGCAACTGCGGACCAATCGATCGCTCTTATTTCATCGTCCACCCTCGGTTCAGTACGATAAATAATTCTACCGAAACGATGTGCCGTTGCACAATTCTCGCGCACAAATCACTGGTTCAATTATCTTTGTTACCTTTCTCTAACCATAGATTTGCGAAGTTTCGAACCTATTAGAAAAAACTATGCGCATGGAGCATCGCGGGGGGCAAATAAAAATGACCGAAAGACTACAAAGCTACACAGTAATTACTCGCATCGACGGGAAAGGTTGGATTTAGTTCGCTTTTATTCGGTCGCTTGAAATACCATGTGTAATTGTGTCCGTTGATTGCTTGAAATCGCGTAAAAAAAACAACACTTGCCATAGCGTTGTCGTTTCAGTGTCGGGATCAAGAATAGAAGCGCGATGACAGTAAGCGAGGCGGTGCGATTTGCTCGTGGCTGTTCCATGTGAAATGCTTGTTGAAATCAACCTAATTCATAACATACAATTTTTTAAAGACGTCGCGTTTTGTTCGGAAGCAGAGAATAGGAATTTTTTGGAAATTCGTCAATGAATCGTGCAAACGAGAAATCGAAGTGTTCTAACGAGCAAGCCTTTCACACGTAACAATGTTTAACGTTGACACTTTGCTTATCGGAAGCTTAATGTTAAGCTTACTCCTAAGCTTTTTACTAAGTTCGTTCACGAGTGAAAATTTGCCATTGGTATTGAGACCTCTATTACAAAATCCCAAATTGATAACTATTGTCCTTTGAAAAACAAACGGACCATCGTTGGTAGGTAAACGATTAACATCGGATTTCTCACGTGTGGGAATTGGTTCGTCATAAATGTTGTAGAGCAGCGATTACAGCCAAATTGGAGACTCTCTCGCGTACTGTCGACGAATATTTGCGATAGGCGGTGTGATGCCACAGCAAGACACTCCGAAACTGTTCAAGCTGATAGTATTATATTTCCTTTTCCTAATACTGATGCAAGTTTGGGACACGTACGACATTTTCCACGATTTTGAGCTGTTGGTGGTTAGCGCGACGGAATGGCCTGTCTCGCTTTCGGCAACGATAGTTCTCGTTCTTATTCGCACGAACAAGAAATTGCCAGCGGTGATCGACAAAATCCAAAATGATATAAATGGCGCGATATCGTTCGGGAACGACGAGGAGAAACGACGTTATCAAAAGTACAACAACATATCCGTTTATTTCGGCAAATATGTGTCGCTGTATGGATTCGTCGTCGCTTACATGATATACGTTCGCCCCTTGATAGGCCTGCTGGTTCATTCTGGTACAGGTAATCGTAGCGGAATTCAGTGTTCACACAGATAGTAGTGTTTTATTTCTGAGAATAAACAGTTGTGTTTCTTCGAGTGACGACGTTGTTATAGATGAAGACAACAACACGCAGCCGTACGTGCTACCATTTCGGGCTCATATGTTTCTCGACTACCACTATAACGCTAAAATATACACTATGTTGTACATCTACCAATTTCCTATTGCGTTTGCGGCAGTGTACCATGCAGCCGAAGTTAGCCTGATCGTCACGTCGACGCTACACGTTTGTGGAAAATTGTCGATGCTGGCGTGCCGAATAAGAATGTCCCTAACGCAATCTTCGGGACATTTTCAGCACAGGATGAAAACTATAGTGATCGAGCATCTGGAGTTGTTGGAGTGAGTACGTAAATTTTTCTCTGATTCAAAAGCTAAATAATTTCGCCGAGATGCACGCTTGTCACACTCCGTGACGAAACCGGCATTGGTTTTTATTCCGAGTGTGCTGGCCATCGAAATTCTACTGTATTCGGATTTTAGTTTTTTAGATACATTTATGGCTAAAAGAATATTCAGAGAATACGAAAATGTTCAAGATACTCTCCTGTACATAATCCATGTAAGCAAAGTTCATTCGTTATTGAAAATAACGTGAGCAACTTACAATCTGTGAGAAGCGATCTATTGTTGAAAATTTGAAGATAGCGCTATTTGAGAATTTGCAGCGAAATTTCGAACTGGCATTACGGAATCCGTGCAGCGCAAAGCATGTAGTGAGAAAACGTTGAAACTGTTCACCAAAAAATTATTCACAAATGTTAACTTTGAGGTTTCAACACAGTCGGCGGTGAAGTTGTAGAAAGCCTCAGAGATTACAGTGATTTCAATATGACAGAATTCAATGTAGTAGTAGCATTTAGTTTTTCCTTAGTACCTCGAAAACTAAAGCCGAGCGACCCCAAATGGAAAACGAGAAAGTTGTTCAGAATATCGCACTTTATAACATATTTCTAAGCCATTGAAATCGAGTTAACTCGAGCGCGCTAATCTGGCCAAACTGTGCACACTCGAGATAATTCGAGCGGCGTTGTACTTTATGTTGCTATAATTTTGCACACTCGAATGCAATCGAGAATTGAAAATAACAATGTGAAAACAAAAAAAAGCAATTTATTGATATTTATCATTTACATGGGATTGTAAGCTATAACATTTACTTATTCAAGTATAAAATATATCCTTTATCTACTATATCTTACTAAAATATAATGTAAAATAAAATATAAATAATAACATATATAAATATAATAATAAATATTATAAATACTAGTATTGTTGTTATTTATGTTTTAAAAGTATAAATAAATATTTTTACTGATAATAATGTTTATTCTGAAATGGGAATTCGAAATGAAAGATAAAAAAAATCGATGTAGTGTAATATTACAATATTCGACTACTTTCTACAATGTTATCAAAGTCCAAAATTGCAATAAAAATTTTGATTATTTTTGTACTTTTGTAATTTTCTTGCCAAGACAACGTTCTAAATTGTGTTTTTTTTACATTAAACAAAATTGATTTTTTTGGTCGGCCTTTTAAAAAAAAACAGTGAGCGCCATGTCCACAGAAATCTTGAAATTCTAGAAATTATCACCGGTAGATAATTTAGGTGAACAGTTATAGTGCTATAGCACCATACGAGTTTGGTAACTCCAGTTCGAAATTTCATCACAAGTGACGCTTGTCTTAAATGGTAGCGCGTGTATTTTAAGTTTGCAATAGCGGAATGTTCTCTTCAGATTTTACATTGTTCTCTTGTTTCTCAACAATGAATATACACCGTTTAGGTGGTACAGATATAGGAGATACTCTCTCATGTACTTTTTTATTTGTTAACTCGTCAAGAATACATGTGTAGCTGTATCAACTACGGAATGTTCCCTATTTTGTCAGTAATAAATAGATTTCTGTAACCATAAACGGACGTAGCAAACATCTGTGGTGGAAATTTCTGTGTCATCAAAACATTCGTTCATTATTTCAACTCCCATATTATAGTCGCAGCGACAGTGAAGAAGAATATAGAGTCAAATTGCTTAAGTGTATTTGATCATTCGACATTGTCTCCATTCCGAGCATGCTGGATAATTGGATAATGCTCAGTTTAAAAAATTTGCAAGGCATAATCTCTTCTTGAAAACTTTAAAATAGCGCCATTTGAGAAAGTGGCGACGCCGGTGGTGGCATTTCGAACTAGCGTTATAGGGTGCGCGTAGTGACAAACCACGTAATTTGGAAACGCTTGAACTGTTCGTAAAAATTATTCACAAATGGCAATTTCGAGGTTTCACGATTCCGCCATCGCGGGAATGAAACAGAATTTTTAGCGGTTTAAAACATTGTCGTCATCTTCACGGAAATTTTGAAGTCCCCAAAATTACCATCAGTAGATGATTTCTGCAAACAGTTTGGGCATTTTCTCACTTCGTGCTTTAGCGCTGTACGGACTCCGTAAATATATGTAGTTCGAAATTTTACTACAAGAGGTGCCAATTGTCTGAAATGGTGCATGATGGATAATTGGATAATTCTCAACTATTGCTGTGAAATGACAAATGCGTAGATGACAAATAATAATAAATGACAATAAACGCGTAGAAGTCTCACGCCTATACATATACACATAGTAATTGTATCTGCATGTATTTCAGGTTTTCAAACAGTCTAAACGACTGTTTCCACCATATCCTTCTGATAGAATATCTGAACTGTAGTTTCAGATTGGGCATTTCTATGTACGTGGTGATAATCGTATGTACTCGAATCTCTTTAAGGCACATACACTAATGCAAGACAATGAAAATAACGAATAGCAGCCGTAGAATTTATTATGCTGTTTAAGATCATAATATTTGTTATGCAAAATTCACTTGATAATATGAATTAATAAGAAAAATACGTTTGAAATACAAATAAAAAGAAAAGAACAACAAATTCTTAATAAGAAATATGTTGCGTGGACGATGTTCGATATTTTTTTTAATATCTAGCATTAGAAAATAGGAGGACACGATGTCAAAATTCTGATTTGCTTGTGAGAACGTAATGTTAATTTTTCTGTTAACACTTTTTTCATAACACAGACGCTTGCGAAAGATACGGTGGCCGCTATTAACTATATTATGTATTCCATCATCGTGGTATCCTGGTTGTATCTGTACTCCTACATTGGGGAACAGCTTGTTCACGAGGTTCGTATATTTATTTATTTCAATCGTTAAAAAATGCGGATGAAAAAGCGAATAAAAAAACGATCATGACAATTTAGTCACTGCAAGTGGGCGAAGCGTTTTACGATACCGATTGGACGAACATCACGAACAGTAACAGAAGATCTTTGGCAATCTGTTTAATAAACGGACAAAAAGCCGAGTATTTAACGGCCGGGAAATATTATAGATTTACGCTTTTTGGCTTCAGCGATGTAAGCACTATCGCTTGTTCCTGTTAACTGATAAAACAAAGAATATTCGCCGACACGTGTTTAGTAAAATTACGCAGAAATGATATCCAGCCTTTTCCTTAACAGATTGTAAAATCTTCCATGGCGTTTCTCTCCGTGCTGCGAGCGATGGTCTGATAAAGCTGGAAAAAGTGATGTATAAGTAGGCGATTGTATAGCTGCAAATTTCTATTTTCCATTGCGTATGTTCAAAGATTTCCCAATTATAATCATAACATTTTAATTATTGAAAACGGAAATAAGAACAATGCGAACGATTTGTGACGGTGTTCGCTAATTCGAAGTTTCTGTTTAAGAATGCACATGTTTGGAGGCACGCGAAGATAAACATTGTTATTTAGGTACTGAAAATGGAAATAAAAGCGTCGAAAAAATGTTGGATTTGCTTCCTAAATTTTTCCCACATCTGTACAAAAATGTAACAATTTCATAGTTCAGGCAGTTTTAACGATGTATACATCAACTATAAGTAACAAGGATCGTGATAGCGCAATATGGTAATTAGTGTCGCGTGTTTTTGTCTAATTTTGTCGGTAACTGTGTTCGCTACCGTTATCTCCTCGCTAGGGAGTCTAGCCTTTCAATCGGTAAAACATTAAGTCGGTAAGACAGGCAGTCTCTAGAGATGAAAGCAGAGGCGATATATAGGGTTAGACTTAGCGCCACAGACGAGATATAGGATTAGCACTATAGACGAGGTTGCAAGCATTGACGATTGATGGCGCGAGGTGTACTCTAATATCGCGGGTAACCGATTCGAAATGCACATATCCATCGTTCCGGAAGAAAATAACTCACTTTACGAAACGTCCATTCAACATTTTTAAAAGATGAACTGCGACAGCATAATCACGATCATAAGTCTTATAATACATAGCTCCCTTTATTTGATCAATCTTCGAAATTAGGTACATATAGTTAACAATTATGCTCCTGTATTTTTATGCTTACAAAACATAAGTGAAACTACTTGCAACAATTTAAAATCTTTGCCTTTCTATTGCCGTACGGTATGCTCGTATCGAGAACGATAAATGTGTAGGAAGAGCACGCTAGCATCGTTTTGTATAGTTAAGACATAACCGGAAGATTTTATCATTGGTGGAGCAAAGGGACCAACGTAATTTGACCAGTCTCGAAAGAATAAAGAAAACGAAACGAATAATACAAGCTTAGGTATAAGGACTTACCAACTTATACTTCTATTTAGAAGTGAAATTTATCTTTAACGAATGCTGTTACTAAAGACACTGATTTACTTACACAGTTCTTGAGTTGAAAAGAAGGGGATGATGAATGTTGTGCATATAATGCATTATATGCACAACATTCATCATCCCCTTCTTTTCAACTCAAGAACTGTGTAAGTAAATATATATATATATATATATATAATATTATATATATATATATTATTATTATATTATTATTATTTATTATATATATTATTATTATTATTATTATTATTATTATTATT